ACTTCCAACAGTCAAAACTCCGTTCAGAATAAAGTAATTTGACTGAAATTTACCATATTTTCTTTTTCCATCATATTTTTATAAATTATTATAGCAACTCTTTATTAAACTCTCAACTAATGTATCTTTAAACCACAAGACCACCCCCTAATTGCTGTTCGGCAAAATTTCCCTCATAGCACACTTCATTAGCTCTCTCTCTCTCTCTCTCTCTCTCCTTCTCTCTCTCTCTCTCTCCTTCTCATGGACATCCAATCCATTTCATTTTCATTCTCTCTTTCTCTCCATGTTAGTTTGGAAATGACCACCCCCTAATTGCTGTTCCCCTCCCTCTCTCTCTCTCTCTTTCTCTCTCTCTCTCTCTCTCTGTGTGTTAGTCTGGAAATGACCTAGTTTGTGGAAGATAAAACCTATTCTCTCTCTCTCTCTCTCTCTCTCTCTCTCTCTCTCTCTCTGTGTTAGTCTGGAAATGACCTAGTTTGTGGAAGATAAAACCTATTTCTCTCTCTTTATTGGATAAAGTTTCTAGTTGTTGAGCCTGAAGCGCGTTAAGTATAATTAGTATACAATAACAATATAACACCTCATCCTGCCGAGGGCGGTGATAAAACACCCTCCCGTGTCAGACAGTAAATTACACGTTTATTTAGAAGATTTTAAATAAATAGTTGATATAGCAGCGCCATTACTCTGGTGTGAATAACTTCAACCGTTTATTCAGTAAATACTTGCTTAAAGGGAGATTCAGCGATATTTCCGTGTAGATAGAAATTCCATAAATTTAAAGTGAGATTTGGAATGAATAAAAGGGGGTTTAGCGTTCTACTTTTCTGCTCTAACCAGGCTCATGAAGATGGCAGGTGTTCACAGGTTCAGTGGTAGATTTTATACGGTTCCATGTCTGCTTTAAATATTGGCATGCACGGAAATAGATATGGTTGTACCTGACAAAATATCAGGCACTATCGGACTATAATACCTGGACTATAAATACCTGGACTATAAATACCTGGACTATAATACTCCTGAACTTTATTACCTGGACTATAAATACCTAGACTATATTACCAGGACTATTTTACCTGGACTATAATACCTGGACTATATTACCTGGATTATATTACCTGGACTATAAATACCTAGACTATATTACCAGGACTATAAATACCAGGACTATAATACCTGGACTATATTACCTGAACTATAAATACCTAGACTATATTACCAGGACTATAAATACCAGGACTATAAATACCTGCACTATATTACCTGGACTATAAATACCTGGACTATAATACCTGGACTATATTACCTAGACTATATTTCCAGGACTATAAATACCTGGACTATAATACCTGGAATTTTTAACTTTGTGCTGGACATGCATTAAAAATATCAACAAATAAACACACAGAAAAAAAAGAAGACAAATCTGCGCCAGATAATACGACAGACTTGGATGGGTGCCATAGTTCGTGCCAGACTTGAATATTAGATTAAATATTGTATTGTTTATAGATCTCTCTGACGATTGAATACCTGTCATGGTTATTTTAAACACTTCGTCTTTCTGCACCTAAAACAATCGTTTGACTTTATGAATTGAAATGAAATGAAATGGGGTCTAGCGTCCTACTGTTCTGCTGCGACTTGGCTAATGAAGACGGGCATACACCATACAGTGTGCTATGAGGGAAATTTTGCCCAAGCAGTGGCACTGTGACCTACTCTTATATTGAATTCCAACTGCCAAGGGATCTTTTACATGCACGCCAATGTATACATGGGACCAGGGTTTTTCATCCCATCCAAATGACTAGACAGCTGTCCTTGTCAGGCCCCCTGTCCTGCACCACTGACAAGGGGAAATCATGTCGGAAAATCCTGATGAACTTTTTGGGCCAATGTAGGGATGCAGAAAGCAACCTCCAGGCTAGCAAGCCAGCGTCTTACCCACTTAGCCACTGTGACTCCCTGACACGTATGGTATAACACGTGAGTCACAGCATGCTGTAGAAAGGCAAGATTAAACACATTAGATTTCTATAGTTCCTGAAACACCTCGGACAATTTCTACCTTTGCAATATGTAGCCTACCAAATAATATGGAATGATATTATTCAACATTAGGTCGGTTGGGTGGCCATGTGGTCTATTGAGTGTACTGTAAATCATAAGATCTGTCAAGTGATGTGTTTCCAACTTCCAACTTGTGCATGACAAGGAGTAAGGCCGCTTGTCCAACTTTGTGGATTTACTTAGGGTCCTCTGGTTTCCTTCCACAGCTAAAGACCCATAGGCACAAGTGAATAATTGAACCAGATATGCCATTCTCTAAATGAATAATTTGTGTTGATTGGAAATGAAACCCCATTTCCCCCCTCTCTCTCTCTCTCTCTCTCTCTCTCTCTCTCATTTCTTGTCTTAAAAAGAACCATATATTAGTCCGGAAATGACCTATTTTGTGTAGAGTGGAAGTCAGAATGAATGTTGATGAGAGTGTAAATGCCTGTTTAATAATATAAACAGTGTTAAGTCTGTTAGAAAGTGTAATTTATAAGGTGTTTAAACTGTATAATAACTCATTAGACACCAGAATAAACACAACACTGGTCCACTTATTCCACCTATCTCCATTTATATACCTTATATAATATATCATCAGGACCAAGGATGGGGGGGGGGTATTTCCAATAAAAGTATCGCAATTTTGGTATATATGGAAAGTAGAAATATCCAATCTTACTAGAAAAATATTTGATTCCCTGAAGAACACACATGGTGCGCATACAGTACAAAAATGTAAGGGTTTCCCTAATCGACAGCCCGATGATTAGGAATGTCTGCTCACATGACGTCAAAGGTTTCATGCGGAGATTGAGCGCTTGATGTACATGTTGATAAACTTTATGAAGAGTTAGACGTACAACACTTTCTGAGATAAAAATCACTGAAAAAGACTTCGCTACCGTTGCTAGGTAGTTCATCCGCGAAGTCCCATGACACAGACATGGCCTCTTTTAATAGATTTTTTTATAGCGGGGGTATTCCCTCGCGTTAACAGTGTTTTGAGAAGGATTTGAAGCAAAATTTTGATAGATTAATTAGTTTGAATATGTTTTTAGTCCAAATACATCATCAAATCACTCAGTTTGTACACGGGAATGTGATGCGGTAGAGTTGACAGGTCTAGTCTAAAATCTTCCGACATCATTTTCATTGCACAAAAGTTACTAAAACTCCTGAAAATTCCAACAGACTTCTGTATGTAGACTACCCCATCACAGACCCACCATGACGTTATGAAAACTTCTCAGATTTGGCCCACAATTCTTTCCTTTCTATATTTCTCAAGAATTTAGGGGGGGGGGGTTAGCAATATTCAGTACAAAAAAAAAAAATTGTGTTGATAGGAAATGAAATGAAATGGGGTTTAACGTCCTACTGTTTTGCTCCAAACTGGGCTAATGAAGACGGGCATACGCCATACAGTGTGCTATTAGGGAAATTTTGCCGGGACATCGGCACTACGGCCTACTCTTATATCGAATTCCAACTGTCAAGAGATCTTTTACCTGCACGCCAATGTGTACACGGGACCTCGGTTTTTCGTCTCATCCGAATGACTAGACAGTTGTCCTTGTCAGGCCCTCCGTCCTGCTGTTTTGATAAGAAATAATTAATGATGCAAATGGAAAGTTGCACAAAACAATGGGGGGCGTAAAAAATGAAGTGGTGCATGAATATCTGTACTTGCAAGGTCACTGTCATTACAAAGTATTCCCAGAATTTACTCAAAATTGTTTGCTATATTTTAGCTAAAATATAGCCCTTTATAAAACTTTTGTTGTTCTAATGTATCAAATACATAAATAAGAAACTATGTGCAAAGTTTTGTGTTTCTGGATCAAAGATATTTCTCATAAACAGTGATTGAAGGTTGGGTAAATTCTTAATTCAAGTCTGATAACGCTTTGTGAAACCAAGGCTCTTGATTCAGTCATATTGACCAGATTTGACTGATTGGCAGTAAATTTGACTCGCTGAAGACCTTTGTCCATTAAATCAGAATGTCAAAGAAATTAATCTTAAAATGGGTAGAGCTTGTACTGCATAGACCTGCCTGCAGTATCGTTCCCCCCTGCCCCACCCCTACAACCCCCTAAAAAATGCATGAAAAACACATCAACCGTACTTAAATGATGTAAAAATAATATTGCATCAAGTCACACCAATTTGATTCTCTGTTCTTCGGGAAACCTGTAAACATTTTCCTTCAATATTTTTCAAAAAACCAAAAGTACTTGGTTGGGGTGTTCGAAAGTACAAAAGCTTTTAGTTTCAAATTTTTAAGTTTTTAAATTTTAAACAAAACAGTGTTCTATGACGGAAATTTTGCCCGGACAGCAGCACTACGGCCTACTCTTATATCAAATTCCAACCGTCAAGGGATCTTTGACAAGCACGCCAATGTGTACACGGGACCTCGATTTTTTGTCCCATCCGAAGGACTAAACAGCTATCCTTGTCAGGCCCTCTGTCCTGCATCACTGCTTTGAATGTTGAGTTAGTATACATATTTAATTAGGCCAATGAATGAGAAATATCCAATATAAATCGGAGATATCCGAAGGGAATATAAAGGAACATAACCAAAGCCGAGGACCACCAGCACAACACACTAGGTATGGTACTGGTTTAACATATATTGCTGCATGGTGCCAATCGATTTCATTTTATACATTTCCTACTATCTGTATTCAGATCATATTTAAATATTAAACTAATGTTGACTTTTATCGTCTGCTAGTTAACCCTCTCTGGGTATGTATCACTGGACATGCATACCGATGAGATGGGTCTCGATATGCACGTGCACGGCGGTAGACGCTGCAGCCTTTGTTGTATCTTTATGTGTGTCACATGGTTTGTCTCCATCATGTTTTTACTCAATGTAAATAAAGTATACTTAAGAAGATTATTTTACTTTAACAACTCACCTGTCTCAAACATTCGTTAAGTTCTCTATGTATTGTTTCTTCATCGAACATCTTGCCCTGATATCTGTGTTCGTAATAATCTGTTATACGCTGTCGTAAATTTCTCGGTAATTTTCTGTATACCATATATTCTTCCACTTGTTTGAACTGTCAACATAAACAAATTAAATGAAAGGGGCAAATTGTTTAACGAGTGGACGTTCGATCATAAGGTAAGTCATCGAGTCAAGTGATGTGGTTTCGAATCCCCACTTGTACATTACAAGGAGTAAGGTAGCTTGTCAAATCTCGTGAATTTTCTCTGGGTTCGTTACATGTCTAAAGCCCCCTACGCACAAGCAAATTATTGAAATAAAATTGAACCATACTTTAGTCCCGAAATGACCCAATTTGTGTTGTGTGGACTTTAAACCTCATTTCTCCCTTTCTCTTATAAATGGCGGATCAGTGATCACTGAGGCACAGTTCTGAACTAAGTCAAGACCTCTACGCACAAGCCAATTACTGAAATAAAATTGAAATGACTCAATTTGTGTTGAGTCGACTTTAAACCCCATTTCCCTCTTTCTCTTACAAATGGCAGATCAGCAGTCGAACGAAGTTATACGTACCTTTTCATTATACATTCTTCTAGACGTATCAAACGATTGTATGAGAGTTGTTGTGTGAGCCAAAAATAAGGCATAGCAGGTAGCCCCACTCAACATACTTAATATGGTCAACCACGTATCAGACATATTCTGAGGTGGAAAACGACCGTAACCAATGCATAGCATATGTGATAGAGCCTTAAATAAAGACCAGGTATACTGTTCAGCCCAATGTGCATCCTGAAAAAAATTAAACATACATTATGCAAGAGCTAAATCTGCCTATTGCAGGTCTTTATTTAGGCCTGAAATGGTATATGTATTGTTTAATGGTTGAGAGCGAGACATTAAGTAATATATTGTAACAACAATAGGACCGTAGGCCCGAGTGTTTTTACATTATATTACGCAATGTCTTAAGCTCGAGACCATTAAATGACTTAAATAAAGACAATCCGCACGTGCTTTTACAGTGAAATATGTCACACGAGTCCAATACTTCACTAGTATAAATAATGTACGATTGGCAAGTTGCTCGTACAATTATTTGAAATAATGGTATGCGAACATCAAAGCGTGACGTCACATCTGTATTTTAAAAACTATTAATTAGACGTTTATTAACATGACAAGACCATAATCAACTCTCGATGCCATCTTATGTGTCCGATTTTTACTGGATTTAAATCCAATTTGCTGCTCAACGCTCATTGATGATTTAATCCCAAAATGGATAATCAAGACTATGTTTTTTATTGTACCGACTTTGGTAATGATGACCGAGGCTAGGTCTAAAATTCAAATGCTGATATCTCGGTTCAGAGTGGAGCAATTTGACTGAAATGTCAGGGTATCACTAACTGGCATCCCAACTGTTGTCTGTCAGTTTATTGTGTGCTAGCTTGATCCAATGGTTAGGCGGTTTTGGGAACATTGAGGGGTGTCAACGCACAAAAGACTCTGCAACTGAACGGCGGAAAAGGAAGTTGACAAAAAATAATTAAGAATTTACTTAGGCCACAACATGTATGGCAAATGGACAGTAAGTAATGACAAATACATTCTGAAAAATGGACCCTCCCCACAATGAATTAAGGTGACATACATGGCGTCTAACAACAGTTTATTTATAGCTATAGTAATCTCCCAGAGAATACAAAGTTTTGGGAGGGATTTGAAACAAATTTTTAGTCCAAATATATCATCAATTCACACATTTTGTATGCGGGGAAAGTATCTTTAAGTGTTTATAAAGATATGAGGAATTGAAAATTTGACAACCTTTGGAATTCTCTGCAGACATTATAAACAAACCAATACCATCTAGAATGTATTGAGTAAAAATTTTGATTGGCCTCATTTTAATCTGTTTGAATTGAAACTTGAAGATCATCTTCTGTTCTATTTCGGTTGGTTTTCATAATTAAATGTTAAATAATTGATTTAAAGGAGGTAAATCGCTAATATTTGGGACCTAGTAATTGACACAAATGGGTCGCAACGCAAATAATAATGTAATATGAGTGTATATTAACTGGTTTTACTCTTATCCAAATCAGTTATTTTCGGCGAAATACTTCAGAAGTCCCCAATCGAATTGCAATATCTATGACATAAATTGACATCTACAGAAAATAAATATTGGTTCAAATGGGTACAATTATCAAATTCCTGTAAATATGGGTTGAACATCGGTGTATCTCACTCGACCAATATTACAAAAACCACTTCACATCACGGTCTGCTTGGGGGGTTGGATGGCCGAATGGTTAGCGTGTGTGCGTTGTATCATAAGATCTGTTATTGAGTCAACTGGTGTGCTTTCGATTCCCTGGTTGTATGTGACAAGGAATAGGGTCACCTGGATCCTTTGGTTTCCTTCCACTACTAAAGACCCATACGCGCAAGTGAATTATTGAAATAAAATGGAACCATATGTTTGTGCCGAAATGACCTAGTTTGTGTCAGTGGACCTTAAACACCATCTCCTCTCTCTCTCTCTCTCTCTCTCTCTCTCTCTCTCTCTCTCTTAACCCCACCCACCCCTCTCTTAAACCCTCTCTCTCTCTCTCTTAAACTCATCTCTCTCTCTCTCGGTCTGCTGAGGAAAACTCAAAAGTTGATCTTTAAATTAAAATGTTCATGATTAAGTGTGAAAGTTGAATCTTTTCAAGAAATAACAGTCCATAAGTGGTTCAGTTCTGTTCAGTATTTACCAATGTAGAATGAATGGAACATTTTGCAACTTTCAGCATCCTCCATAGATTATTCTGTGAAATCAAAGGATCAGTGCTGGATTGGTTGAAGTCTTATCTAACTGACAGAAGCCAATATGTCCATATTCATAGCAGCAACTCTATATCTAAACCGCTGTCCATTGGAGTCCCACATGGATTGGTACTAGCCCCACTTCTTTTCTTACTGTATGTACTTCTGCTTGGTAAAATTATTATAGATGTGGTATCAGCTATAATGGTTTTGCCGATGATACGCAATTTTATAACACATTTATTCCTTTAGACTAGATGTCAATACATGGTAACCTAAAGAAGCTAGAATCCTGTATCCGTGATATTCGGACAAGGATGAATCAAAACAAATTAATGCTGAATGATGAGAAGACAGAATTCCTGATTATATTACCAAGATCAAAACTACCGGTAAACAGTTTCAACTTTTCACCAAAGGTAAACACCGAAATTTCACCATCATGTAAAGCATGAAATCTGAGTTTCATCATGAACAAGACAATGCCTCTCATCCCACAGGCTAACAATTCTATGTTGATTTTGTGCATGAAATGTACACATACGCTAACGCCCTCTGGTGTAATAATGTTGATAATTCATTATATTTTTCTGGACATTTTCATTTCAAGATTTTAACTTCAAGACTTTTTGAAACGTAGAAAATATTTTCATAAGAGTTGAAATTCCAGATTTTTTTTTTAGATACTTTCAGAAACCAATGAATTGATTTGTTTGTCGTGTAAAATTAAGAAATTATTTTTTTATTTTAATATTTAATGATATATAAAAGTTACCAATAAAACGCCAAAAATGAAACATAAAGTCAATTTTTTGTTTAAAATGTTGATTTTGTGCATGAAATGTTGACATACGAATGTAGAAACAAGAATCATTAGTTTAGAATGTTGCGTTCGTGTCTAAAATGTTCAAACTGGAATGTAGAAACAAGAATCATGAATATTGTCCCATTTGGTCTTCCATATTAAAGTGCTATCAAATGTGTATAAAGCTTGTTTTCCGATACTGCTCCCTCCTACAGATACTGCTCCCTCCTACGGATACTGCTCCCTCCTACATGAAACAATTCTTTATATTCTACGAACAGGAAAGACCAAATCTTCAATTGTCCACAGATACTACTTTATTATCTGTGCCTGCTTACAAGAGACTTCGAGGAAAATTATATTTTCCTATAAATGGTGCCCATATGTGGAATAAGCTACCAAGAACAATTAGAGAAAGTTCAACTTTTGTTAAATTTAAATCAGAGTTTTAAACACACTTGTTTAAATATTATTACAAACTGTGATGCGACATTTGTTAAGCGCTTAGAAATATCACTGAATATAATGAAGCGCTATAGAAGATGAATAATAATAATAATAATAATATCGTGTCATGTACTGTACCTCGGTACTTTCCCGGTTGTATGTGACAAGGAGTAGGGTCGCCTGTCCAACCTCGTGGGTTTTCTCTGGGTCCTCCGGTTTCCTCCCAATGCCACAGACACCTACCTACACCCAAGCGAGTTATTGAAATAAAATTGAACCATATGTTAGTCCCAAAATGACCTAGTTTGTGTCGAGTGGATGTTAAACTCCATTTCTCTCTCTCTCTCTCTGTACTTGAGCATATTTTATCAAACACTTCGCTTCATGGTCTACTGCGGTACGGTAAGTTAATTTTTAAATCAAAATGTGGATGATTTACCTTCAAATTCTTGTGTTTATAAGTTCTTCCTTTTTCTGGACCATAAACTGGCGCCTAGACAACAGAACATGTGATACCGTTATCAGAATTTCCAATAAAATCTTTAAAATTCCACAAAACATGCATTTTAAAACTTTTTTTTTAAATAACGGTATCACAGAATTTGTATTGTCATGGCAACCAGATTATGGAGCCAAACAAAATTCTAATTCTACGGGGAATTATGAATCAAAGACATCAAACACACAATAATGTGAAATTATCTTTTCATGATTTTTTTCTAAAATTCTACGAAAATAATTTTAAAAGCATAATTCCACAGGAGCTGTGATACCGTTCTTATTATTTGATCTTCAGAACAACAAAAAAACAAAACTCGGAAATAATTGGCATCATGGCATGACTCTAGAATACGCAAACATTGATAGCAAAATAGTTTGAAGAAATCAGTATCATGACAATAACAAGTCAATCGTAAAAAAAAAAGTTAAAACAGAAAAGAAAATAAATAGAAAATTTTGAGGTATTTTGCTTTTAAATTGAGACAAAATCATACTCCAACATGAAAACAATTTTAATGTCAAGGATAGAAAAAGCAGGCAAGGAAGAAAAGACTTGGAATATAAAAACAGAAAATCTTCATTTATAAAAATAAACTACAAGCAACTTTGTTTAATATCTTAGAATGGAAGATGCCATAAACATCATAAATACACAAAAAACAAAAAAAAAAGAAATGAAATGAAATCACACTGGAAATTCTCCCTACTCTTAATCAAGTTTCAACTGTCAAGGGTAATTTTATTATGTGCACCAACATTAATGTGGGACCTGTTTTTCATCCCATCTGAATAATATTTTGTTTCGTTTTTTTATACTTTCAATGGCCTCTACTACATGAAGATCTGACCAGTTGTACTGGAAGGTCGCATCAGGGGTTGTACGAGCGGCTTTTGACCCTTTGACGTCAGACATTGATTAATCAATCAGTAGTGATTTTTCTAGTGGTTTACCCACAGTTCCATGCATGGCACGCCAGTGGGCAGAACTACAGCGGGGGAACTACAGCCTACTTTTATTTCAGTTTCTAGCTGTCAGGGGTTTTTACCATGCTGTCATGGAACCTCTAATTTTCATCTCATCCAAATAACTAGACACTTTTACTTGCCAGGGAGAAACCAGGTTGAATAATTCCTGAGTAACTTTCTCGGTCAATGCATACCCCAGGGCCCTGATTTTTCATACCATCCAAATGATAAGACATTCCATGCTAGGTCTCCTGTCCAGCACCATTGTCAAGGCTGACTTAGTGAACAAGGGAATTATAAACCAGGGAAACCAAGCTGGTAAGGCTGACTAAGTAACTAATGATGTTATGAACATATCAAAGGGCAACCAATCTAGTAAGGCTGACTAAGTAACTAATGATGTTATGAACGTATCAAAGGGCAACCAATCTAGTAAGGCTGACTAAGTAACTAATGATGTTATAACCGTATCAAGGGCCAACCAATCTGGTAAGGCTGACTGAGTAACTAATGATGCTATAAACGTATCAAGGGGCAACCAATCTAGTAAGGCTGACTTAGTAACTAATGATGTTATAACCGTATCAAGGGGCAACCCAGCTGGTAAGGCTGACTAAGTAACTAATGATGTTATAAACGTATCAAGGGCCAACTAAGCTGGTAAGGCTGACTAAGTGACTAATGATGTTATAAACGTATCAAGGGCCAACCAAGCTGGAAAGGCTGACTAACTAACTAATGATGTTATAAACGTATCAAGGGCCAACCAAGCTGGTAAGGCTGACTTAGTAACTAATGATGTTATAAACGTATCAAGGGCCAACCAACCTGGTAAGAGAATAAGGAAGTTATAAAACTGAAATTAAAGATAGACACAGACAAAGAAAGATGGAAGTCAGGAAGTCAAATTATGATGACACTTGCCTGTAATTCTTCGATAGAAACCCAACAATCCTTAGGAAAGTCTTGTAGCATCGGTATCAGGAATTGAAGACAACCATTCCAATGTCCCAGTAGAAACATCAGACATATTAAGTTAAAGATTCTCATAAATTTACCGGCTATTGCTAAAAACTAGAATACAGAAAAAAATATTATCAAATTCATGGATTCGTGTGTTATAGTATCAGATGCAGGCAGACATCGACTAGATTCCAGGCCTTTGTGGGGTTTTTTTTGTGGCATGGGAGTGGTTTCAACGAGTTTCCACCTAACACAACATGTGACCAATGACAACAAAATGAGTAGGAAGTCGCAAATCATATGGTTCAATTTTATTTCAATAATTCGCTTGTGCATCTTTAGAAGTGAGAGAAAACCGGAGGACCTGGAGAAAACCCACGAGTGACCATACTCCTTGTCACGTACAACTGGGGAATCAAAACCATGCCATTTGACTCAATGACAGATCTTGTGATACAGTGCGCACACGCTAACCATTCAGTCATCCAACCCCCGAATATCGTAAAAGACTTGTGTCTTCCAACTCATTATGCTATCATGGACCACATACAAATACAAACAACAATCTAAACTATTCTTGTCAAAACTTTAAACATTTATAACTTCGCTCAGAATAAAGTAATTTTCAGTATATTCATTTTTCATTATCTAGTTTTGAACTATTATAGCAAGAATGGTCAGCTCTTTATCAAATTCTTACATGATGCAAATGAAATTGGGTTTAAAATCCTACTGTTCTGTTCCAACTGGGCTAATGAAGATGGGCATACACCATACATTGTGCTATGAGGGACCTCGGTTTTTCATCCCATCCGAACGACTAGACAGCTGTCCTTGTCAGGTCCTGCATCACTGACAAGGGGGAACCACGGCGAAAAATGTGCTATGAGGGGAATTTGTCCAGACAAAAGCATTACAGTCTACTCTTATATTGAATTCCAACTGCCAAGGGATATTTTCTGTGCAGGCCAAAATGTACACAGGACTTACCTCTTCCCACTGTTGAACATATCTCACAAGTCTGGATAATCTTAACAATCTTAATAAACTTAAAAGTTTTACCAGTCGTATCATACGCAGGGCTCTTCCTGTTGAAATAAATTTAGTGAAAACCGTAAATAAAAAAAAAAAATCATTTTAAAAACATATTTGGATATTTAAATCTTAATTTTGAAAACCATATATTGTCAGTTGTCTAGGCTGTTTGTGATTTCTTGAGATTTTCGTCTGGGTTTTTCCAGTCACTTTTAGTTGCAGGGAAATTTTACGTGCACGTGAACATGTACGAACCTTGTGTTCGTTGGTACTTGTCAGCCCGTTCCTCATGTTCGATCCCGGGGTTGTCCGAGAAAGGTCATCTGGATTTTCTGGCATCGTTTCCACTAGTCAGTGGTGCAGTCGTTCAGATGGGATGAAAAACTGAGGTCTTGTGTATCAATTAGCGAGCACGTAAAAGATCCCTTGGCAGCAGAAATTTGATATAAGAGTAGGCCATAGTGCTGCTGGTCGGGGAAAATGTCCTTCATAGCACACAGCATGGCGTATGACTGTCTTCATTTCCTTACTCGCTAAACTAAGAGCACCGTAAACTCAAAAGACAACTGTGAGAGAGAGAGAGAGAGAGAGAGAGAGAGAGAGAAATGGGGTTTAACGGCCACTCGACACAAACTAGGTCATTTCGGGACTAACATATGTTTTAATTTTATTTCAATAATTCGCTTGCGCGTAGGGGTCTTTAACAGTGGGAGGAAACCGGAGGACCCGGAGAAAACCCACGAGGTTGGACAGGCGACCCTACTCCTTGTCACGTACAACCAGGGATTCGAAACCACGCCAGTCGACTCAATGACAGACTTTATAATACAGCGCGCGCACGCTAACCATTCAGGCATCCAACCCCCCGCAATAGACAACTGTATATGGTTTTCAAAATAAAAGATCGATTCTATTCTTAGTCAATAAAAAACCCTAACAAAAATGCACGCATGCCCCACCCCGCCCACTGTTCATAAAAACAGTATGGAATATACAGGCCCTGAGTTTACAAAACATTCTCAGACTTAAAATTAAAAATTTACTCAACTTTCAATCACTGTTTATGAGAAATATCTTTGATCCAGAAACACAAAACTTTGCACATAGTTTCTTATTGATGTATTTGATACATTAAAACAACACAAGTTTTATAAAGGGCTATATTAAGTTTTATAAAGGGTTATATATTTTAGTTAAAATAAGGCGAACAATTTTGAGTAAATTCTTAACTTAAGTCTGAGAATGCTTTGTGAATTCGGGACCAGAAGAAACAAGATTGAGAGCATGATTTACAGAGAACGGAAAACAAGTAAAAGAAGAACTGAAGAACACAAGCCATATAAATTGCCATTTGTATTGGTTAGTTAATATAAGGGCCTCAATTTTTCACGAGGGTGACTTACTCATGCATATATGATTCCCTATCGTTAAGAAGCGGCAAATGAAACCCGAATTGTAAAATAACTAAAAAAAACAACATGCAGAAACATGTTAATTTATTTCGATTTTTTAATCTAACTTCGCTAAAAGAAAATATAGAAGCTTGACTGGGTCAGGATATATATATAAAAGCTTGACTGGGTCAGGATATGATTTAATATTAGCATATATATATATATATATATATATATACAGGTTATTATTGATATAAAAACGAAAACAAAGAACAATCATTTATATTGTTCTAAGAAAATAAAAAAAGTACCAAAAAATAAATGAACAAATTATGAAACCAACAAGGCGATCATTCAGAAACCATATGTCACTTCCTTCAAGGAAATCTTGAAAGGATTATTTAAGAAAATAAAAAGTTGTTTTAATTTGAAACGGAAACAAAAATTATAAAACTAGGTCTATGTTAGTCTAATATTTTTAGTTCAAGGCTCAACATTGAATAGCAGCACATTCAAAAATAAAATATCGCATTAGGCTACTAAAGACAATTGGGGGACGGATCCAGGAGGGGGTTTGCCCGGTACCGGAGATAACTTATCTTTGCTGGGAGGGGGGGGGGGGAGGGTCCAGGGTGGTTCTCTCCCCTCCGTGCTTGAAAATATTTTGAGAAATACATGGTCTCTATCGTAATTTTTGCATATATGTACACAATGAGCTTTTTAAAGATAGAAATCCAACACCCCGTTTGACGTCTATTTTTATTATGAATTAATATGATGACATTGTGATTCAATTTCATTGATGCAAAGCATTAATTGTAATATCACATATGTCTATATCACATTATCTCGAGCTTTGAATGCCCATCGCATCCCACCATCTGATGATAAAGGATAAAGCACACGACCGTGACATTTTTCTCATAAAAAGTGTTGTTTTACAATTTTTTATGTAGCTGAGCAAAGGGTGGTGGGGCTGGCCCCCCCAACCCCCCAACACTCTGGATCCGCCCCTGCATTTAGACCACCTCAATTTGAGTTTTTGTTCTTCGGGTTGGAATATTAAAATTTTGGTTTCTAATTCGTTATTCTTCTCAAATACTTTTTGTTCAAATGTTTCAAAGTTTTAACACTTTAAAGAAAACATAGTTCACAAGTGACGATTTATTAATCAAAACCCTTGGAGAACTAAAACTAAAATTATTTTGGTCTCAGCAGAGCTTTTTGTTTTAGCAAGAAGCGCAAATTCAAGATAAAATAAAAAGATGAGACCATTAAATGGACAGGACCTATTGATTTAGAATACTTAAAGGGACAGGACCCATTTGATTTAGGAAACTAAAAGGAGCAGAAGCTATTTCATTTATGAAACTTAAGGGGAGCAGGACCCACTTCATTTAGCAAACTTAAAGGGACAGGACCTCTGTGATGTAAGGAGAATTCCAAAGTTAGAATTAGGGTTGTAAGTCTCGACTGACCAGCCACGTAACTGACTCACTGTAGAACTTACCTGTCTGTCAGGTTACAGGCAACTTAACAATAAATATACAGTTTTTGGGTAAAAACACTTAAAATTTCATGTAAAAACTGTGATAATTGAAACAGATATCTTGCTAATTCACAGTAATGAAAACACGTTAAAGTTTTAAAATTTAAGGCCCTTGGAGATCTCTTTGGTTAGTTTAGGGTAACTGTTAATTTGTTACTGTGATGTTAGTAATATTGAATTTGTAACTGTTATTTTTTTTGTATTTAATTTGTAACTGTTTTAACTGTATTTAATGCGTAACTGTTAAGTTCATCATATTCATAATGTTTGTAACAATTAATTATTATTTTTATGTTAGTATTAATTTGTTACTGTTATACTCATAGTATTTTTAATTTGTTACCATTATTCTCATAGTATTTAATTTGTAACCATTATTTTCATAGTCATTATTTTGTTATGTTCATAGTCATTAATTTGTTAAAATTGTACATGTGTTTATAGTCATTAAGTTGTTAATGTTGTTTTCATAGTCATTATTTTGTTACTGTTTTGTTCATAGTCATTATTTTGTTACTGTTTTGTTCATAGTCATTAATTTGTTACTGTTTTGTTCATAGTCATTATTTTGTTAATGTCATGTTCATAGTCATTAATTTGTTAATGTTATGTTCAATTTCAATATAACCCTTACAAATAGAAGACCAAAAAAAATTGTTGCTGAATTTAATTTGTTACTGTCATGTTCATTGTATTTAATTTGTTATGCATGCTAAATAATATTGATGTGTGCTAAATAATCGTATAGCACTGGCTTAAATATGTCTTCTATTTAGAAATTTTATGCCACATTGTGAAATTATTTTTAAATGAATTTTAACTTCTAAGCAGAAACACCGCTGACTAGGCAGAATTGTACTCATAGCACACTGCATGGTGTATGACTATCATTAGCACACTGCATGGTGTATGACTGTCATTAGCACACTGCATGGTGTATGACTGTCATTAGCACACTGCATGGTGTATGACTATCATTCGCAAACTGCATGGTGTATGACTGTCATTAGCACACTGCATAGTGTATGACCATCAATAGCACACTGCATCGTGTATGACTGTCATTAGCCCGGTTCATGCATAAAAGTAGAACATTAAACCCTACTTCATTTCATTTCAATATATTGTTTTCAAAAAAAAGGTTACTGAATCATCATATTTATTATATTTTCAACAAAAGATTGCTGCATCATCATTTCAGTTTACACAAAGTTCAAATATATATTACTTTGTGCCAGTCTAAGCTTAAAGCTATTTTTTTACTGTCGTGACAGAAACCATTAAATTCTTGTTCTTAATTGATATAAATTCTTGTCTATAATTAAATTAAATTCCTGTTCATAAATAAAATTGATTCTTGTTCATAAGTAAAATTGACAAATCCGAACATTACAGGCCATCTAACTGCAACTTGTCATGCTATTCATGTGTGAAGATATTGTTGCCCATAATTCACGACAAAAATGGTAGGCTATATTTCACTGTTTGCCAATTACCTTTTGACATTGTGTATGTGCATGAAGGGGGCTTTATAAAAGATTAAAGATACAGTTAAAAACTAGATAATGTAAAAGGAATATGCTTAACTCTAAACCGAGATATTAGCGATTGAAATTTAGGCCTAGCCTCGACCATCATTAATTACTAAAGTCTCGATTATCCATTTTTTGATTAAATCATCAATGAGTGTTTAGCAGCAGATCGGATTCAAATCCAGTGAAAATCTGACACATAAGATGGCATCGAGAGCTGATTATGGTCTGGATAAGTTAATTAATGTCTAATTAATAATTTATATAACATTTAAGGCCTAAAGAAAGACCTGTAATAGACAGATTTAGCTCTTGCATAGTGTATGTGCCATTTAGAATGTTACTTGATAATCAAGAATATGTGGGTGGAGTTTAGCGTCTGTCAATCAAACAATCGGTAATTCTCTGAGACGGTGTGGAGACGGTTGATGCCTATTTCTAGTCCAAACTTCCAAGAGTGACAACTTCGTTCAGAATAAAGTAATTTGACTGAAATTTTCAATATTTTCTTTTTCTATCAACTATTTTTTAATTATTAATGCGAGAATGGCATACTCTTTATTAAACTCTTTAACTAA